TTCAACTCCCAGAATTCCCCAGCTAGCCTTGCTGGCTGGGGAATTCTGGAAGTTGAAGTCCGCCCATCTTAAAGTTGCCAAGGTTGAAGAACCCTGGTCTAGCCAACCAAGTCAGGATGTCTGGCCTCTCGTTCCCCAATAGTTCTCCAAAACAATCTGGTCTTTACCAGCTTTCAGATCAGCCCCACCTGCTATTCCATACAGCATCTTGGGGAAAACACTGCTTTGGGGCCCCTTTTCCCCCTCACCTCCCCAAAATAAGGGACTGTAATAACTGCTTGTGTAAAGAGTATATTGGGCAGGTTGATTTCAGTTGGAAGAGGCAGTTAGTTGTTTATGTCTGTTTTGCTGATGCTTTTGAGCCCGTCTTAACTTCTGGTGGCTGCCCGGACAAGTTCCCACAGTTTTTATGACAAGATTTTCAGAAGTGGTTTGCTCTTGCCTGCTTCCTAGGGCTGAGAGAGAGGGGCTTGCTGTCATCCAACTGGCTCCGTGTTTAAGGCAGGACTAGAACTCACAGTCACCAAGTTTCTAGTCCTGTGCTTTTAATCACTGTACCAAACTGGCTCTCTGTTTATGCCTCCTTCATGACTAATAGCCATTGATATGGAATTCCTATCTTTTTTTTTTCCAAACCAAATTTCCTATTAAATCTTCTAAGCCATTGGCCCTCACTCCCTCTTGCAGCAATATATTCTACAGATTATTGGTATATTATGTGAAGGAATTTTTTTTCCTATCTATTCTAAATCTTCCATTAACTCATTGAACTGGGAGAGATATCAGTCTAATTTGCTCAACACATTAAAGCCAACCAATCTGATTAACAGGAACAGACATACCACCTTTGTATTTGTTTCCTGCATGGCTTTTTAAAGCTTTTCTAAGGCTAAGCATGTCATCCAGATCCAGAGTGTCTCCTATTTATGGTGTACATGAACTGAGATTTAAAACCGGCAGTTAATCTTATTGTTCAAACACATTTAATGACTTCTTAACAGAATGCTTGCATTTTAGGGCTTTCTTGGGCGGAAAAACATCTTAAATATAACTAGTGTTTGCAATCTGCAGTGCTTCATTTATGAATAGGCTAGTGGTTTGCTCTGGGACTTTAGTGGAGCACTATAAATAAATGCAGATAAATGCAGATGTGTATTTTTTTTATTTGTATATGTGAATGGGACAGCAATAATAAATTATCACATCTACATAAAGTCTGGAAAAAATCCCCTACAAACAAAAATGTCAGCAACTTTTCCAAATTAATAGCTGAACCCACATAAAAGATAATCCAAACAATTCAAAACTGAAATTTCAGTAACAGCTGTTTGAACAAAGAAAGCAAGTTTTTAAACAGCTGTGTAAAACTATTGTCTGATGAAGTCCTGGGAAAAAAGAACCTTATGTAGAAAGAGAATATTTGTAAAGATATCAGCAATCCAATGAGAGCTCCACAGATGTTTTGAAAGGTTTCCAAAAGTTTATTGATAATAAATAAAACACTTTCAAATTCAGTTATATGCATGCTCATTTAAGAGGAAGGTTCAGTGCATCTCAATGTAAGCCATACTGCTTTGGTTCTGGCACAGCAAAACCAGCCATTTATAACTTATTTGTAAACCATCATTAAGCAAACTATAGCTCATTTATTTATTTGTATGATTTATATAACCACCCTTCTCACACAAGTGATTCTGGGTGGCTTACCAAACACAGAAAAATCCACCCCATAGCATAGCTCAGCTTAGTGTAATATGTGAACTAATTCTGAGTTTTATGGGACTTTTACATAATATATGGGATCAGGAAGCTAATCTTTCTGAAGGAACCCTGTTTCAGACTAAATTCACATGGACTTCATGTGTATATCCTGTTAAACAAAGGATGGGCATCATGCAACTCTGGATCACAGGCAGCTGTTGCTCCAAGATCAAAAACCCTTTGCGAGTAATCAGGTCACACCTTTAGGAAGAACTGCCTATCTGTCCCCTGGCAGCTAGGAACAGACGGAGAGAGAGAGAAAGGAAAAGAAGCCAGACATTAAAGTGGATGTTAAAGGAGAATGCCATTGTTTGTAAATTAATTGGTATCAGTTTCATATTTTTAGAATACTAGAGTACTTGCTTTGTGTAAATGCATTTCTCCTCAAGTGTTACTACGCTTTTTCTGAATACCACATCATTACAATAAAAAAAAAAAACCCTTAGAAAAATAAAGCATTGCAATTGAGGGGCCCAGCAATATTCATCTTCTTTTTGCTTTTCCTCTGAAGCTCTCACTGCAAAATAAATTTTGGAAATAACGCTGAAGCTCTTGCAAAACAAAATTTCTGCTTATAGCTTTCCCTTGGATTCTTTTTCAAACCTGCCTTTTGTTTTATTTTCCTTACTGGTTTTTATGACAAAGTGTATTTGCATCAACATTTTCCTTTGTGTTGTGAGTTCCTCACTCCCTGCTGCTCTTTTCCCTGTGTGAAGCCTCAATAACCCTGAAAAACAGCAAGGTGGGGGGAGGGAAGGGGCTGGCAAAGATTCCTTCTTTCCACTGGAGGGGATAAGTACTGGGAAATCAATGAACCTTAACTGCTTCAATTTGGCTTCGCAGGAAGTTTGCCCAGAATGCAGGAATATCTTAACAATATGCAAGAAGAGCCTGAACCCAGCCAATATGGTTTGTGAAACCAGCTACCCAACCCAGCTTAGTGCAGTGGGTAAACTCAATGGGCAATATGTAGGAAAACAGCTATAAGGCAGAAAGGGTGAGTGGACGGATGGCAATGGCAAGATTTGAGTTTCAAGTTGATATCAGGAATCTGTAATGAAGGAGTAGGGAACTTGTTTTTCCAGATGTTGCTGAACTAGTGCTATTATCCACTCCAGCTAGAATGGCCAATGGAGAGGGATACTGGCAGTTGTAGTTAATCAATATCTGGAAATCATAAGTTCCTTTTCCTGGCATAAGGAAGGATTAAATAAAATAATTGCTCTTCTATCATATGTACAACATAGGCTTTCCGGAGATCCTCTTGGCCTTCCATCTTCTTCCCTAAGACTAAGAATGTTCAAGGCCTTTACATTCCTCCCATAGCTCCTCTTTTCCTTCTGCTGACTGAAGGGCAGTATTTTTCTATCACTCTCTCTTGGGTGTCTCAGCAGGTAGCTTCTAGCTGGCTTTGCATGGGGTTAGAAGCTAAGTAGGATTAGACCTGGTTAATACTTGCATAGATCAATTCCCTGGCCTCCCATAGGAAATTCCAGGGTGATTGACAAGACTGGGAAGTTGAAAAGCATCCTGAAAGAAGTGCATGGCAAACCTCTTCCACACTACTGCCAAGAAAACTTCATGGCTATCAAGCGTGACTTGAAGATGTCTTTACTTTTATTTTACATGCTGGTGGCATTGCAAGGCACTGGGGAAGTCAATCAGCACAGCGGGGGGGGGGGGGGGGGGATAAAACCAGGTGTAGCATTCAGATAGGTGCATAAGCACTTAATGTCTTTTTCAGGCTATCATATACAAGCAACTTCTATTATGCTATTTTTATTCCAGTTTTCCTCCACTTCAGTGAAACATACATATTGTGCCAATACATGTTAAGGTGACAGTAACTTGGGTTATCTTTCTGCCAAGCCAGGCTGACGTAAAGCCATGAAATCTGCTGGGCGCATCTTACTCCTACAGAAATTCACCTGGGCCTAGAGCTCTCTCTCCAGTGGCTTGTCTTTGTTATGGCAGCACCATCCAGTGTGAAAAGCAGAACATTTTTGCCCCAAGTCAGGGCCAGCATGAGAAGTGATGGGCCTGTGCAAGAACTTTTTCTTGAAGAGGCCAGACAGGTATGTTAAGGTTTACGTGCCATCAACTGAGTTCTGGTTTCTGAGATCTTGCGGGATGGTGGATGTAATGCAATATAAAGATTTTCTCCCCTATTTTTCATGAAGATGTTGTTAAGGACTATGAAAGTGGTGCATACTAATTCCTAGTTTTGTACAAAATAATTAAATCACAAATGTATGAATATGTTTAAAAAAAAAACCGGTTGTCCCCAGTCACATCTAAGGGACTGATTGTACAGTGTTCTATTTTCTTTGTTTAAGACCCTGATTAAGAGGATAAAGTGCTCAGCTCACTCTTAGTGTGGCACTTTAACACATGCAGCAGCTGACCAAAATTTGAAAAGCTAAATCTCTTATGTTTGTAACAGAATTCCAGTGCAACACCCCTCTCTCAAAACTTCCATTATCATTTATTCAGGATCCTGGCTCCCCTGAAATAGAGTGGATTCACAGATGATACTAAACTGTAATGGTTATGTCTATATATTTTGTGATTGTGATTGTGATTGAGAGCTGTGCAAAACATTTGTATGAGTTGCTTCAAAAGGCACAGGAGCCGTGTAAAAATCACATCTGCTTTAATGCTTCAGAAAGAGGATGTTCCTCTGTGATTCCATGTGTTGCAAATGTCTCATTCAAATGCTTTGCGCAGACCTAGTGTGACTCCAGTCACTATGGGGCATTCAACAAGCCATGGTTAAATCATAGCTTGGCATGATGTGCAAACTTAGATATAAAATGCTCTGATGGCAATGATAGGGCGTGTTCTGATAGAAGGTATTTGGCATGTATGGACTTTTCTACTGTTTTGTTGTCATATTCAGGAAGCTGAAAAACTAAAAGTAATTTGAAAGTTCTTTCCCCAGGGTTATCAGACGCCTAACAAACCTTGGTGGAAAATACAGCTTTTTGTTTGGGAACCAGTGCTTTTTGGAACATGGGATGGAGTCTTTACTTCCTGCATGATTAACATCTTTGGAGTAGTTCTCTTTTTGCGGACGGGTTGGCTGGTTGTAAGTATTATGGGATTAAACAATAACTCATAGAGGTTATGTCACTCTGTGATTTCATTTTGCTTTGCTTAAGGTGATTTTTTAAAAAATAATATGTGTAGTTGTTAAAGCTGACAGTTAACTAGACGATAAAGATTGCCTCCTTTAAAAAAAACCAAACAAGTGGCATCTGTTCAAGTAAAGGGTGTTTCTCAGACTTCTTTTTTAAAAAGCACTGAATGCATATTCCTCTGCAGAGCTATTATCAGATGCTCCATCTGCAGTTATTGTTAGTTTTTTAAACAGCTTGTTAACCAATGCATCACACAGAGGAGAGATATATCATTAAAACACTGGCAAACAGCTCATCCTACAACCAAATTAAGAATGCAATGAGGTGGGGGGAAGACTTTTAAAGCAATGAGCCGTGTGATTAACATTCTTCTTACCACTTTTGCCTGTAGAATCAGATAATTGTAGATCAGTGTGCTGTGAGCATCAATGTTTTGCCCTGGAGGCAAATAGGATTGTTTTTTTCCGAAGAATCCAAGGCATAATTGGTGCTGTAAATGGCTTTTATTTTCTTAATCTTTACTTGGACCACACTGCGATATAAATGGCGAGGATTTATATGTTGGTGTTAACAGGAGGGGCAATCCAGGGTGTCAGCAAGATGCATGGCATAGATACCCTTTTGACTTATCTCCTACATAATGAATTGTGATTGTTGTGTTAAAGCCAAGAGTGGTTTGTACTGACTTTGCTACAGCAGCATTTGATGGCTTGAAAATGGCAGAACTCCATTGTACTAGACTACCCAGTCCTGTTACTACCAAATGTTGAGTTCATTTGGAGGTAACAACCTGCTAAATTCTCAATATTCAGTAGCAGCAAGATTGACAGTTCAGCACAATATGTTTATACCACTGATGTAGCTGATACCTGTGGGAAACAAAATGGCTTTTGCCTGGTATGTAGGAAAATAATTCCCAATTATACCTATGCCTAGTGATGGTGCTGATGGTTTCCAGATCAGTAAGCAGTGCCTTTCAATAACCCAATTTAACTCACCAGGCCTGCATCTTCTTATAGAATTATCACACTTTGCTACAGCATCTATTCCTACCCTTCTTTTAGTTCCTGCTCTTAACCAGGTTTGTTAAAAAGTTAGTCTTGCTGAAATAATTTGAACCTAGTTCAAAGTAAGCTGCATAATATTGCAGCTCCAGTATCTATTTACAGACTAGTTGATGCATAAAATCGAAATTTCCATTTTTTCTCAACATTTAAACATTCACAGATTAATATATGCTTGAGTTCTTATGGCTGTATTAATATTTCTTCTCTGCTGTTCTATGAATGTAAAAATAGAAATAAAATAGCTTGGATCAGTTGTAATGAAGCTGATCAAAAATAACTGTTCAGGTGAAACATGTTGCTATAGTGACATATTCTCCCAAACATTATTTAAAGAATTTGGTATCATCTCAGGTAATGGCTATAAAACAGTAATCCTTCTACCCATTTTTTTTTTAATCTTCATTTTCTTTTGCATCAATTTTCCTGATTTTATTAAAATAAAATGCCAGAATTATTGATGTGCATGGCTCAAATGCAAAAGTTGAAGCATTCATATGAATCTGATATCTAGGCATTCCTGTTGAAATTGATGGATGCAATGCAACCCAGGAGAAATTAGGGTTTGCATTAGTAGAATCCTTAATTGTGCTATTTCCAAAATTCTACAGATACTTATCTGCTGTGCAAAATAAATTAAAAAATAAATAAACTATGCTCATAGAAGCCTCAGTTTCCTATTTCCAAGTACATGTTAGTTTCTACATTGGACTGCAGAAAAGCATCACAAACTTTTCACTGCAGGTTGCAGAAACCGAGATGGAATAGGCTCATCTTTCGTTGAAATATTTCCATTCTGGATGGTATTAGTTACTATTTTCCCCCACCCTATGGCTTACTGTGTTTTCTAAATCCAATTAATTGTGGTTTATTTGTTGAGCCGTAGTTAAGCAATCATTGCTTAGCACAATGCATGGGCCCAGTTATATTCTTTCTTGCATTGTTATAAAATTCTTCCTTGTGATTCCCTGATAAGCCTCCATTCAAAGATATTACTTCTTCTATTGCTGGAACCCATTGTATTTTTTCTTGCTAGCCAATAACTACCCAGAATACAGCTGCCTTCATGAAATCATATCTCAATTTCTTATCCTGCTGTTTTGGATGACAGCTGTAGAAGATCAAGGAGAACTGAAGCCAGGACTCAGCATGTTCACATCTGCCGGCATATAGTCCTTTTATACTCCCTCCCTAAAGAGCTATTTTTGAAAAGGAAAGCATCATTGTAACTTCCATTGTTTTTTAAAAGCACTAAGTTACATGCACTAAATATATATTTCAAATGGGCAACGGACTTAGAGCGTTCCTTCAATATGTTGATGGTATAAGTACAGTCTAATATACTTTGCACAAAGCAACAATTAGTTCGCAAAAAAGCTTAAAATCACTTCCCCTTCTACAGAGCTATTACAGGAAGGAACACCACGCCTGTTGGATAAGAGCAACACACAGAGTGCTTTGAAGAAGAGCTGAAGGAAGCAAAATGCTTGGGTTTGCTCACAATAGGGATCTCTGAAGCTCAGAGGAAAAGTTTGAGAGATCACTTTGTTATTTGCATCTACATGCTGGCAATACTTGGAAGTTCCTCTGATGAAATAAGTGTGGAAACATAACACAGGACTTGTTCCTCTCCCGTTCTTACCCTTCAAAGATCACAATGTAAAATTCTATCTGTGCTGTGCCTTTTTTTGTAAGTACATGTCTGTGAAAGATGCAGATACAGAGAGAGCCTTGTAATATCTGATTATTTCTGGGTGTATCCCATATTGCTGTTTCAGTCATGAGAGTGATTTGCAGGAGAATTAAATGTTGCACGATAAAAAAAATCCTGCATAATTAACCTTTCTTCCTTTGCTCAAGAAAACTAATCTTTATGGATAGTTGCAGCAGATGACACATTTCTCGATTAGCACCATGGCTTTGAATATCCAAATTCAGCATGAAACTACAGTTCAGTACAGGTAAAACTGGCATGGGATCAGTGCATAGGCTAATCTTAGGTATTAATCCATTAATAGCAAACAGTAGTCTTGCTATTGGTAGTCACTTCAGTTTGTTCATATATGGATTATATATCAGCCGTATATGATCTTTATCTAATGCTTTGCTCCTAGTGTAGTTATTTATGTATCATGCTCTTTTATGCTTCAGCTGTCCCCTTCCATTTCAGGGGAACACTGGAATTCTGATGGGCATGTTTTTGGTGTCCTTCGTCATCTTGGTGGCCTTAGTAACTGTCTTGTCTGGCATTGGAGTTTGTGAACGATGTAGCATTGGAAGCGGAGGAGTCTATTCAATGATTTCTACTGTCCTTGGAGGTCAAGTTGGAGGGACCATTGGCCTTCTTTATATTTTTGGTCAGGTAAGAATGCCATTTTCTGAAGAAAATACTTTTATTTAAATATATTTTTCCCATTCACCTTTCCCTTTATGTTCAAGGCAATAATACACAAACTGCAAATTCTGTTGTGTTAGTTGAAAAGATACATACACTGGTTTGAAAACCCTGGTATGTGATGAAGGATAAAGTTGCTTAAATTTGTAATTGCCTTTCTGAAGTGCAGCTTTCCTTTATTGTCTGGATGTGGTATGAATCAATTGCTACCTTCTCTTTGAAAATTCTTTGACAGCCTGGAAAGTAAAGTGAGGATTTGCATATGATTCTGTGCATGGAATACCTTTTAATTTAAGATTGCTTTTAGTCCAAGTTTTGGATACCAGGGATTGCTCAGAGAAATGTTCCAAAAGAAGATTTGAAAAACTTAAAAGTATTTCACATTATCTGCTAATCTCCAAAGTCTTCACAAAATGAAATTTAAATAAATGCAAAAATTAAAACTCAAATGAAATTAAGCACATCCAAATAAAGATATTTAAAAATTAGGCTGTATTTCCAAAACTGGATTTTAGAAACATTTTTCACCTGCAAATTCTAATTCTAGGTGATTTACTTAAAAACTGAATCTATTTAGTCAATGTTATTTATTTACTACAGTGTTATTTAATGGATAACATACTGTTCATGGATATTTTCCTCAGCACTTCCAGCCTCCCTTCTCTCTGCTTTGATTTTAAAAAAATATTCATTTAATTAAAGAAAATTAAATAGGAAACTGACATGCTGCAAAGCTAAGAGTCAACCTTCAATCTAATTTTTATTTACATGAATGCCCCATTTAGACCTCATAGGCATTTTTTTGAATAAAAACAGTGGGGAACTGTAGCCCATTGCTCAAAATGTGCCCCCCAGTGTTTCACTGGTAATATATATCCAGGGCTTAAAGGAATGATCTGCGGCAGCCCCAGAGTCAGTTTCTCAGCAAGATTCTTAAGCCACTGAGTATGATGATGAACTCCGTGTCAGGCCAATTCAGGGGAAGCTCTGAAACTCTGTAGTTTCTCACCTCATGTGCACATTTCTCAGATGTCAGGTAGGGCCACAGACTCTTTAAGTCGGCAAACGGGATGACCCACACAGCCTTCTTAAGTCTTCAGTTAAGCATTGGCAATATATGGAACAACTGCTTTGACCAAGCTTTTAACTTCCTACAGTGAGCTCTCCAGGGTCCTGGCCATGCTTTGTTGTTCTTAGAGCTGGTTGATGTCTCTTCCTTTCTCTGGGAATACCAGTCATTAGCTAGCTTCATTTGAGTGTTCAGCCAAGCCAGAACATAGTCTCACTAGTTTGCCTTTTGATAATAAAAATGTTGTAACTTGCCTCACCCATCATTGCAGCCATTTTGAGGATAAGCAACCCCTACATGGTAGTCATCCCCATGTCATGCTCTTAAAATTCCAGATGTAGCTTCCCACTCAAAAAATTGTCTACACTTGTGGTAGACAGCCTTATAGTAGTCTAATACTTCACCTTTCTTCTATCAAAAAACTTAAATGAGCAATCATTCTTATTCTGGTTTTCTATTCAGACCACGGATAAGACTCAATAGTTTCAGCAAGCTTAGTCTATGTTCTGGGGCCTTAATTAGTTTATGTTCAACACCAGCCATGGATATTTAAATGCAGAATTAGTTCTTATTAGTTCCACACGGAAATCTATTGTTGATTCCTACATAACCAACAATATAAAATATGACAATAGATTATGCATGCTATGGCTCTTTACCAGAATATTGTTCACATGTATGCTGCTATGTTTATCATAAAACCATGCCATTGGCATAACTTGGAAACTAAATTTATAGAATTTATTCTTTTAAGGATAAACTGAATTTTAGCAAAATATTCTAGTGCCGTAATTTAATTAAATTGCACTGTAGTAGCCAAGAATCTGTTTTTCATAGCATCACAATACTTTATGTGTAGATGTAATTATGGTATTCTGCAATTCTGCTACTACATTAATTGGTATTTCCTGGTTTTGAAAGTGAATCAGTTTGACTCTGTCAAACATTACTGCATCTAGGAAGCTATCCAGGAATGGGTTTTCCAGGGATTTTTGGTTTAAAATAGGCTTCTGATTAGCCTTGGAGAGTTCATCTCCATTAGATGCTTTGTTCATGACAGAGAATGTTCAGGGTGATATTCAGAGTGGGGAAATATTTTCCCGCAGTGTGCTTCAATGTCTGGCCAGAGTCAACTATTTCAGACCATGTGCACTTTTTCCTCAGGAGCGTCTCTATTTTTTTTTAAACTATCTTCTATATACCAAATGATTATTATTACAAACAATCAATACTTACCGCTGCTTGTGCCACAGGACTTCCTCTTCTTCCTGCTGTACAAACAAGCATATTCCAGATACCCTCCAGACATCCCACTAAACTAGGGGTGGGATGAAGGTAAGGAGATCCATTTGACCATGAATTGTTTGTGCCATTGATGGATGGATATAGTTGGGTCAGAATCTGGGGTTGTTATTAATGCCCAAGATGCAAATCTCTTTCCTAAAGAAAAAAACAGAATGAGATTCTTTTTGACTTGCCTTGTTAATTCTGCTCTAGTTTATTCTTCTTCTGCAGTGTTGTTATTAATAGAGCCCATAGCAGGCCTTTAACCCTCCTGAGAATCTTGTGTCCTCCTCTGAGTTTTCTCCTACTACTGAAATCTGAGTGCCAGAGCTTCCAAACAATCATTTTTTAGACAAAAAATAAATAACATGTTAATTGTCCTCCAGTTCAAACAGCTTAGCCTCTTCACGGGTGAAAATATTCTTCAGTGTGTTGCAGGTGCTATGTACATTACTGGATTTGCTGAATCCATCTCTGACCTCCTGGACCTCAGTAACATTTGGGCAGTGAGAGGCATCTCCCTTGCTGTCCTGCTGGCCTTGCTTGGAATTAATCTGGCTGGGGTGAAATGGATCATACGACTCCAGCTGCTACTTCTCTTTCTACTGGCTGTTTCCACACTGGATTTTGTCATTGGATCCTTCACACACCTCGATCCAGGTAACATTTTCCTGACTCTTCTAAATCAGGAAGATAACCATCTTAATGGATGAATGAGATGTTTTTCTCTATTTATCTGTTGACTAAATATGCTAATATGAAAATAATATTTCTAAAGCAACCATCTTCCTTCTTTTACGTTTATAGGAGACATGTGTTTGTTATGATCTCTTTCTCTCTCACACAGAGACACACCTTTACAACAGACATTCTTCCTATGCATTAGATACATGCTTACCATTTTCAATTTTTTATAAGGACTGATTGAAAATGATTTTTAAAATGTTAGCAAGTAGAGCCTTTGTAGTCAGTTAAAGTATTTTACAATTCAGTCCGGTATATTACTATACAGAAATAAACCCAAATGAATTCAATTGAATTGAAGTGGATTTGAAATTAAGTAAGTGAAGAAAATAACCAATCAAAGGCTACCCCTCCTAGTAATTTTGGATGAGGTTATTATGACTAAAGAGTTTCATTGGGTGCTTGAGAATTTCAGAGCTAAAGAAAATTGTAGAACAGAATGACTCAGAAGGTTATTTAAACAGATACACCCAGCTACAGCTGTTTTGGCCTAATGAAAATCAAGGCTGGATTTATCCAAACATTTCATCTGGTCAGCGTGTTAACCGCTTCACTTAATAGAATACCTGCTGCATGTTCCAACCTGTCTTCTTGGCTCTATTTTTTTCTCCCAAAAGTCACTCCCCAACTGCTTTTTTCATAGCTCTTCCATGCACTGGTGAGCACTGTGTGTTTCAGAGTCATAAGATTATCAGTTCTACTTGTGAAAAACTGAAGGGAGCAGTACACTACTTTTACTGGCTGGCAATATGAGGCTGAGGAGTTTCCTGTAAGAAAGTCTAGTTTATTTTATAACTAGCAGGGATAAATTTGTGATTATTTGATGATCAAGTGCAGAAGTATAGGATGGGGAATATATGGCTTGTGAAAGATCATAGAATAGTAACTGATTGCAAACTGAATGTGAGTTAGCACCATGTGGCTGCAAAGAATGCAAATATAATTTGGAGCTGCATCAATTGAAGTATAGGTGGTGCTCACTTAACAACAGTAATTGGGACCGTCAACTCTGTGACTAAGTGACACAGTCATAAAGCACAATGTCATGTGACCACACTGACTTATGACAGCAGTTCCAGCAGTTCCAGTTGCCATCGTTAGGCAAATCCTCCACAGTCTCAGTGTCCCATGGTCATGTGATTGCCATTTGTGACCTCCTGCTGGCTTCCCCATTGACTTTGCTTGTTGAAAGCTTGTGGTGAAAGTTGCAAATCGTGATCATGTGACCGTGGGGTGCCGGTTGCCAAGTGCCCGAATCGAAATCACATGACTGTGGGGACGCTGCAACAGCCGCAACTACAAGGAATGGTCATAAGTCCCCTCGTTCAGCGGCGTTGTAATTTTGGTTGCTGAATGAGTGGTCGCTGAATGAGGACTACCTGTATAGTTTCCAAATCACTGTAAATAAGTTTCATTTTATTTAGTCCTGAGAAGAGAAGATTGAGGAGAATAGGAGAAACACTGAAAGGATGTCACACAGAAGAGGGTGATGACTTGTTCTCTGACTCCAGGACACATAATAATAGATTTATATTAAAAGAAGGCAGATTCCAACTTAATATTAGTGGAGGGAAGGTCCTAATAGTTAGATCAGTTCAGCAGTGGGACCAGTTACCCCAAGAAGTGGTGGGCTTCCCTTTACTGGATGTGTTCAAATAGAGGCTAGACAGCCATCTGTCAGACACACTCCAATTTGGATTCATGGTTACACAAACATCTTTTTCCAATTCTATAATTCTAAGTTGTGAAATTGATTAGAGGGTAGGGGTGCCTTAGGGGTATGCACAAAATGCAGAAATCCAGAACAATCCATCACCTGCAGGTTCTCAGAACCATTTCAGATTAGCAGCAATTCTGTATAAACAAGACTGGAAACATTTTGGTTGTTTGGGGTTTTTTGCTAAACAAAAACTGGAGGGATCCCAGATAATTTTATGGGGTGAGAAGAGCAAGACTGGTGCACATCATTTCTTTTTCCCCTCCTTCCTTCAGCAGCTCCCAGCGTGAAGGTTTGCCTGTCTCCAGTCTTCCTGGTCCCTTCCCTTCCCTTCCCTTCCCTTCCCTTCCCTTCCCTTCCCTTCCCTTCCCTTCCCTTCCCTTCCCTTCCCTTCCCTTCCCTTCCCTTCCCTTCCCTTCCCTTCCCTTCCCTTCCCTTCCCTTCCCTTCCCTTCCCTTCCCTTCCCTTCCCTTCCCTTCCCTTCCCTTCCCTTCCCTTCCCTTCCCTTCCCTTCCCTTCCCTTCCCTTCCCTTCCCTTCCCTTCCCTTCCCTTCCCTTCCCTTCCCTTCCCTCACCTCCCTCCCACCTCCTGACGTCACTGCTGCCACTGGTGTTGCATGACCACTGGTTGGCCAACCCCCCAATCTTCTCGGTGCTTCCCTTTTCTTCCTTCCCCTGCCTCCCCTCCGCTGCCACCGGTGTCCTTAGCTGTTTTCATTCTTCCTCTGTGAATCACTTCTCAGAACAACCACATTTCAGTCTATATCCAAAATAAAATGACACCATTTTGTTCTGTGTATGGAACAAAACATCTGTAGAGGAGTATGGTGGTAACCTTGAAGAAGGAATGCAGGGTGGTTACAAAAATATCAGCTTAACCTTGAGAGAGAGAAAGGGGGTGAGCGGGGAGACGGAAACTCTCAAGATTCCTTGTTATTGTTCCTCTCTGCAACAATAACGTAGAGTTCCAGTAGTCCTGGTGGAGTCTGTTTCTGAAACACATGTTTTTCAGTTCAGGCACAGACCATCTAAAACCAGCTGTTCTGTGCATGGAATGAAATATTTTTGCACATCCTCGGGATGCACCAGTCTCCACTTCCCTCCAAGGATTGGCTGTCAGGAAAGGACCAATTCATTTTAAAATTGTATCAAATGCACAAAGGAATGACATTCAGCTTTGTGCATGTTCACAGGCAGAAAATTAGACTAAAAAGCAACCACAGTAGCCACAGAAACCTTCAGTTGCAGAGCTATTAATTATTCAAAACATATGGCCTTTGTGCTCTCCTATGTCACTCCCAGTTATGGGCATGGGCCTCATGTTCGCAAGATAACACCAGCATATAACCCCAGTGCAATACAGTATTTTGAAGCCTATCCCTACTACAGTGATTGCACAGGCAAGATGCGCAAGTGTAGATGCTGTCAGGTGGCTTGAATATTCAAATATTTAGCCTGATTACTAAATGCATTGCTTTCTGGTGGTTTTTAATCTTTCTTTTTTTAAAAAAATGACTTCAGTATATTTGACTTTTTTTTTTTTTTTGGTAATTACCAAGGTTTTGTACCCAGGTTCAGGGTCAGTCACACTCCCTCAGCCTAGCTTACTTACGTTGTTGTTGCAGGGAATAAAATGAAGGAAGATCTTCGTATATAAGCTGTAAAATGCTCCTGGGAGTAAATCTAACAAATAAATAATAATTTAAAATCATCCTGGCGTCTAGATCAACCTTTGCTGACAACTTGCCCATGTCCATGTTGCTTTCTTGGCCACAACAAGTGGACTGTTGATTGATTGATTGATTGATTGATTGATTGATTGAATATGTGCCATCAAGTTGGTGTTGACTCTTGGTGACCACATCGATTTTCTCCAGGAGGATCTGTCCCCAACTTGGCCCTTCTGGTCTTCCAGTGGTGCACCCATCAGTGATGTAACCGAGTCCATCCACCTTGTTGGTGGTCATCCTCTTCTTCTCCCCCCCCCCCATCTTTCCCAGTATTATAGACCTCTTCAGAGAACTAGGTCTTCACATAATGTGTCTGAGGTAGAATAATTTGAGCCTGGTCATTTGTGCCTTGAGTGAGAAGAAGTAGATTGCCCTAGCCTTTTCTTCTACTTTCCAGCTTGGTCTGCAATGAGATAAGACCCCTGGAATTTCCTTGTGGACTCCATCCAAGATCTGTTCCTGCCCAGCTTTTTCAAAATCAGCCAAGATCAACCAGGTGTTTACCTTTTTGTGAACGTGCAAAGTGGGTTTACAGGGCTCTTGTCTCATTGACCCCTCCTTCCTCAGAGTAGGAAAGAAATACTTGTTCTTCTGCAGCCACTCGCATGCCACAAAATCTGCTTCAGAGGATTGGGAGTTCCTCTGTGGAGGATTTGTTGAGATGGAGAGCTGGTTGCAATTAGGAGGACAGAAAATTCTACTGTGGAAGTGAAGCCTCCTTAAGCAGCAGTACATGCCAGCTATATAAACATATATCTGTTCGTACTTTGGAACAGGAGTTGAATGCCTGTAACAGAATAACTATTAGTATTTATTAATAAATAAAGCAATAACATAATGATGACAACAACAATACAATAATATTTATTAAAATACTACTCAGGGGTAGTACTTTGTGAACCGAAGGGTAACCTGGATCAAAAGTGTAACTCCTTTTGCAGCTTTTGACCATTTCAAATAGTAGTAAAACAAATGAAGTCCATTTTTACACAAGATACTAAGTGTGATGGAATGTATCTACGAGGAGGAGAGTGATGTGGGAGATCAAGGCTATCGGGAAGGAGGGGGCGCGTTCCAGGAGAGAGGAGGAGGCAAGAGGTAGCTGAGTCCGCAGGAGGAGCGTGGGAAGTGAAAGAGGTTCAGGATAGCCACTCCCTAGAATCTCACAGGGCACATCCACTAATTGCTGTAGTATAGATTTAGTTTGGTAAGATTCTGTCTATAAGGTGTTAGCTAATAAAGGAACTGGACTGGACTGCTTCATCGTCGTTCTTGGGTTGGGCCTGACACTAAGTCTGGTTTTGTATTACACTTCTGCTCCATGAGTTGCATTGGTTACCAGTCTGTTTCTGGGTCCAATTCAAGGTGCTGGTTTTGACGTTTAAAGCCCTATATGGCATGAGACCAGGTTATTTGAAGGACCGCCTCTCTCTGATTACATCTACCTGTCCCACTAGATCCTGCAGAGA